TTTTTAAAGAGAAGTCAAGCTGAAAACGTCCTGGGCTGCCACTACTGGTTTAATAAGTAAACTTGAAGGTTGTATTTGTGTCCAAAGCAAATACCTGGCAGGCAGGAGGGGTCAAAGAGAGTTTCCTTTGAAAGAGGAAAAGTTTAACCCTTTCTGATGGGTAAATTATAATCATTAGTGTATTATAGATGAGCTTATTTTTTTTTTCTATTTTAGGCTCAGCAATGGAGAAGTAGCTGAGTTATTGATATTTTCTGCCCATAATATGTAAACAAGGAAACAGTAGTCTTGCTAGAGGAGTTAGATGTTGATAACAAGCATCACTGGCAAGAATTATAGGAGCCAGGTTGGCTGGCACCGAAGCACTAGCATTGGAGAAGTGGGTATACCAACCGCAAAGGGCTGTCAAAGAATGCTGTCATGATTTAATAATCCCATTAGGGGTGGGGCAGCAGGGGGGTTTAAACAGAGGTCCAAAACAATTCAGGTTCAATGAGAATGCTCCTAATTTTGACAAGCTGTTTGGGTTTTTTTTTACATTTTTATTTAAAACTTGATAGTGTTTTGTCATGTGTTTGCTCATCTGCTTTAAGGAAAATATATCTTCGTAGAAAAAGTGAATCACAATTTGCTGCGTTTTATGGTCTACGGCTTTCAATCGGCCGCAAACCAAGGCCATCCCAAAGGCATCGACTGCCTTTTATGGCTTTCCTTGTTACCTTGTTTGATGCAAGTATAATCTCTTGGAGAGAAAGTCAGATAAAAACACGAACTGTTCCAATAGTTTTGCATATGCACTTGTCCCTGCGTACCTGTGGAGCATTGGTTCTAGGACTCCACTTGGATACTAAAATCCTTACGCACAAGTATTTGCATATAACCTATGCACATACTCTCATATACTTTAAATCATTTCTAGATTACTTATAATACCTGATAAAATGTAAATGCTATGTCAATAGTTGTTATACTGTACTGTTAAAATTGTTGTATTGTTCTTTTTCTGTTTCGAATACTTTTGATCCGTGGTTGGTTGAATCCGCGGATGTGGAACCTGCGGATACAGAGAGTAGTTGTGCTACGTTTTCCTTAGAGGGGTTTTTTTTTTTTTTTTTGGTTTTGTTTTTCAATTGTGCTTTTCCTTTTTGACATTTAGAAAAGAAATTGGACTTGGCTTCCGTCGACCTGGGGAAGATGAGAGTAGCAGAGCTGAAGCAGATCCTTCGTAGCTGGGGGGAAGAGTGCAGAGCTTGTGCCGAAAAAACCGACTACGTGAATCTGATCAAAGAACTGGCCCCCAAGTACGCAGCCACACACCCCAGAACAGAACTCTGACCTTGAACGGGGCACACCATGACTTGTGATTAGAAAAAAGAAAAAGACTGTCTAGTATGTGGACATGTTCATGAAGGCTGACTAGGAACTGCACTGTATTTGATCTCATACTTTTTGTGTCAATATCATACCTCTGCATTTTGTTACTTTATGAGTTTATGACTAAAACTACTAATATTACTGACATCTGACATTTGCAGCATACCAAAACTTAAAAGTACTTTTCTCATACTTTTCTTGGAAGGCCTACATAAATGATCATTGCCCGTCTCCTAAAACTGGGAAAAGTGAAGTGCTGAAAAATTGATGAAGTAAGTTGATTCCAAGACGGAAGAGAATACTGGAAGGCTCCTCTCTGCACATGATTTTACACTGTATTTGACTAGGACAAAAGAAACAATGATTAGCTTATCTAACACACAGCTTCAACCCCAAATTATTACCTAACATAATCAAAAC